GAGAATCAGCTGTGGGAAAACTTCTGTCCTCTGGGGAGGTGCTAATCTAGCCTTTGCCTGAGGCTATCCGGCAAATGGCTCTGCGCAGGGCTTGGGCGGGGCGGGGCGGGATCAACAGGGCGGGCGGAGGGAGCAGTTATGGCTGCTCTCAGTCCTGTTCCCAGAGGCTCTGCTTCTCAGAACCCCAGCAACGGCTGCAAACCTCGGAGAGAAGGCTGCCCTCATGTTTCAACTGATGCCAGACAATCCCGCTTCTCCCGTTTGAGTCTGAGTCCCTAGAGACTCGCCCGGATCTGGAGCTCAGAGTCTGAGACTCCCTCCTGATTGAAAACGACAACCGCGCCCTCAGCCACCAGCCCGCTTTTCGCGAGCACCTCCGCACCTTTATATTTTCCACACTGCGCCTCCTCTGAGCCTCTGTATGCTGTTGTCTTTCCTTCTAGTTGAAGAGTCTGTCCTCGGCCAGCCTTCCTGTGGTTCTGGGTGATGTCCGTTCCGTCTTTTAGTTGTATTTTTGAAGTGGTTGTTTGCGGCAGCAATCTCAGGTGTTTACCTATGCCGCCATCTTGGTCTCTCTTGCTATCTATTTTCATGTTAAAATATTTACATAAGGCTTTAATAACTTTATTGACCCATGACTTTTTTATGGTATTTTATCCACAAAGATATTGTGTCTGAAAAGGGTTTTTGTCAGTCCCAGGGGTCATTTTATGCATCGCTAGCATTTTATACAAAGTGCTTACTTCCTTCTCTGTGGTGCTTTAGCCACATTGGGGTCTTGTTGCCTAGGAGGTATATCACTAGTATGAAAGGATGAAGTTTTATCTTCAGGGGGAAAGCCGGTTTCTTCTGTCTGGTGTAAATACTCTGACATGCACATGCACATCCACTTTATCAGTGAACCAGGCAGTTGTATAGCGGGGTCGTAGACTCCGCTCCAGTTTCACCTCCGTTTGTTAACTACTTTGATACGAATTCCTCCAAACATTTAACACAAAAACCTTCAGGTTCACGTGCTGTTGGGCCCGGGGCTGAGGGTGCCCTCCCTCGGGCCACGTCCGGTCTCCTCCTCTGGAGGCTCCAGGTGATCGTAGCGCCAGCCCCTCCTTGGACCAAGGGCCCTCCGAGAAGCTCCCCGACCCTCTCTCACCCACGCCCGCTCCTTTCTCTCGCCCTTCACCTTGGCTCCATGCTCTACAAAGCATCTCCGCTCACACGGGGTTTTGCTGCAAAAATCACTTTATTTTCAACGGGAGGTGAGTCTAGAAGTCTCGGGTATAAAAGTCTCAGCGCTCAGCCTGGGGCGGGGACGACGAAGCTTTGGACGCGCTGCTGCGAGAAAACACCTTGGACAGAACCGACGTGACCCGGGCCAGCATCC